CACGCATCTATTACGTATGGATGCCTAAAAATTTTGTGTCTAAATGACACAGTAAATACATGGTTAAAATGTTCAAATGAAATAAACTTTAGATAAAGTGTCTAAATGAAATATCGTGCCGACTTTAAGTGTCTACGTATGTATTCGGTCGTTTTTAAAAGTTTGACCAAACACTAATTGCTACTCATAAGTACTTTTCAAATTAATGAGTCAAAACACAAACTATTTCTCACTAGAAGTACTTTTGAGAAAAAACACTTCTCAAAAATAAGTTGATTTTTGCAGCTTGACCAAACAGGGCTATAATACCTGCATAATTCATGAAAGAAGTTGCATACTAGTATATGTTATGTATTGCAACATAAAATATGAAAAAATTCATGTATTAGTGATTCATGAAAAACTAAGGTTGTATTGTGGCCGGGCCCGAGCCTAAACGGGTCAGGCCAAACGGTCCCGGGTCTAACGGTGCAAATGGGTGGGACCGGCCCATTGTGTTCCTAAGCCCACATGGTCCCGGGCTAAATGGGTCGGGTCTAAACGGGTTTTTTCGTTCCGGGCTATTTTTGTTTTGAATTTTTATTATCTAAGGCAATTTCTGNCAAAACATCGAAGGAGCCGTCGGGATTCTCTGATTCAAGTCCATGCGACAAATAAACTTGAAGCGCATTAAGTTGTGAACTATCACCAATATTATCACCTTGAGAACCCCTGAACTCCGTCCAAGAACTAAGGGCTTTTAGGCACGCAGTTCTTTTAGATGATTGCAAACTAGACGAAGTAGAAGTTGGAACATTTGGTCTAGCATGATCTAAGGCAAGTTGATAAGCATTATAAATTGTTTGAGCATTTATTTAATTGAGGCTTTTGCATCTCCAAGTGTAGCAAATTCCTCAATTGAAAGTGATAAAGTGTTATAAATTTTTGAATACCAAAAGTGAGGACCTCCTAATTTCATTGTAGGATTTAACACTGTAGCAACACCACAAAATAGGGGGGATAGGGAAAAAATATTTTTTAAACTTAGCTTTCATAGAATCAATAACAAGTTGATAAATTACCCCACCCTCTGAAAATTTAGTAAACAAATCTGCAAGTGCTGCAATATAAACTAAACAGTTAGAAATAGTAGGATAATATTGCCCAGATAATTCATTTGTAGTAACATGGAATTGTTCTAAAAAGTCTACAAGCATTTTAACATTAGTCCAATCTTGATTTGTAAGGTGCTCATCATCATCACCTACATGAGCATTATACGTTACAGTTTTTGGGTTCCTATCATATGCAACAACTTAACTTTCATACATGTAATTCCATCTAGTCGGACAAGGTTTAGGAACCTTTCTTTCTCTAAGGCCAAATTCATCGCATTTTTAAAATAGTCTTTAAGTCCACTTCTACGGTTTGAATAAAAAAACTAATTAAGAACCATTTTAACTTTTTCAATTTCTACATTTAAAACTTTTATACCATCACGGACGATTAAATGGTAAATATGACAAATACATCTAACATGAAAATATTATTAAATGCAGGATTTAGTGTAGTTGTAAGCAAGCCTGTAACATTAGTTTACTAGAAGCATTATCCATCGAAACCGATATTATTTTATCTCTAATGCAAAAATATTTACAAATATCTGCAACTGTGTTAGCAATAAACTTACCTGTGTGGCATGAATTAATTATTCTATAAGCAATAATGCGCTTTTGCATTATCCAGTCCTCATCTATCCAATGACTTGTAACAGTTAGATAATCACAGTCATTACCACTTCTACCAATATCAGTTGTAATAGCAATGCGACAATCTATATGAGTAAATAAATAGCGCAAATATTATTCATATTCATATTTGTATTTATAAATATCGCTCTTTATAATATAATGCACAAAGTGAGGGTTAGAAGGAAAACTATATGGTAATCACATAACAATAACCATTTTTGTCAATTCTTTACGATCTTTATTTGAATCATAATATAAAATGCCACCGGTAACAGTGTTATTTCTCGGTTGAACTAGATTTGACCTTGTACTAGGGTTAATCGTACTATCTACACTTGTCCCCTCTTGCACATTTTTCATTTGTAAATATATAGCTTTATCTCTAGGGTATGTCTTTATGTGTCTAGTCAAACTACCTGTACCGCTACGGTCTCCAGTAAATTTATGAGCCATCAAAGACCCACAAGTTTTACACTTAGCCTTATTTTATTCTCTTAGTTGAGTAAAAAAGTGTCAAACAAGAGATATTTCAGGTCGTTTAGAAGGTTGTCTATTAATAGTAGGGGTTACTACAGGAGGGTCAGGCGGGGCATCAGTTGAGTTATTAACAGGACTAGTAGGTGTATCATCTAAATCCGGTTGCGTTTCATCTAAATTATCATTTTTCTCTACATTTTCAAAGATAGTTTGATTAAGATAAAGAGCATTCATAACGTCTTCATTTAATTGTTGACCTGGTGCAACATCATGGCAAAATTGACTATCGAAAAATTGAAAAAGGGTTATCACTATCAAGAATAACAGGTGGAGGAGAACGGGTAACAGGTCTAGGCCGGGGAGCCGGGGGAAGAGTAGTAGCTTGGCGACTAGATTCACCAATTTTAGATTTTCCCTTACCCTTACCCCCGAATATATTTTTTTCAAAGAAAAGTCCATATTAATTATAATTATACTAAATAAAACAAACAAAACTATAATATTAAAACTTAAGAGTTGGAACGAGTTTACCGAATTGACGAACAACTTCTTGAAAATTGAATATCGTTGAAAACTTGAAGACTTGAATACTTCAATTCACCAACTTCATAATTTTTCACGAAATTGCAATAATAAAGTAAGCAATTATAGAAGAAAATTAGAGAGATATTGAGAGAGATTGAGGAATTTGTGAGTAAAAATGAAAGAATAAGGGGGTATTTATAGTTGAGAATAGGGAAAAAGTGTAATTATAAAAAGTTTGGGATTAAAACAAAGTTGGGGGGTCAAATGGCTGTTTTTTAAACTTCCCAACGGCTGAAATTAAGGGCCAACGACTACTTTTTTAATTTCTAACCGTTGGTCTTTTTTTAATTTTTTTTAAAAAAAATATTACCGTTTGGCCCGTTAGGCCCGGTTGAACCGGACCAGGCCCACCCACCGATCCCGGGCTCGCGGTCTATTTGTGTAGGACCGGCCCACAGTGGGCTTCAAAGACCATTTGAGACCAACCCATTTGAACCGGACCGTTTGGCCCATTAGGCCCGTGGCCTCGCGGGCCCGTCCCACAATACAACCCTATGAAAAACTTACCCTTAATTTGAGGATGTAGCTTTTGCAGATAAATGCATCTTTTTTAGTCTCAACCTTCAAACATGAAAATTAAACGTTTTCTTCTTTGTGTTGTTTTAAAAATGTTTGCTTTTAAGGGTTGTCCTTCGAGCAATTTAACATTTTATGAGATAATATAATTAGTATATTATCATTGTTCAAATATCAAATTATCAATTTTAACTTTTAAATAATGAAATTCATACTCAACTTGAAAAAATTAAAAAATAAAATGTATTAAGAGAAGATAGTTAATCTCATAGTAGATTCTGTATCTCTTATTTTGGAACAATAAACCAAATGAGTGACTCAAATCGGCAACTAAACTCAATCTTATAGATCTTTTTATATATGATAAGGGCAATTTTCTTGTGATAGTAATTTTGGCATTTTCTATACATTCAAACTTCACAACTCCTGATTTTTTACAAATCTTAGTTCTTTTATTCTATATGTACTTACAATAAGAGTGAGTTTATAAAAAAGAACTAAATCATTTGATTTATAAATTAGTAATACAAAAAAACAAAATACAAGCATTGTTATACCGAGATCAATAAAAAGAATATAACTAAGTACTGATATTAGTTACCCTTCATATTATGTATAGTATGAGATAACACTAAAAATTTGAGATATTAGTTATTTCAGTACTAGTTTCCTCGGAAATGAAAATGGCAAAAAAGAAATCAATCTAATAGCCCGTTTGGCCAAGCTTCTAAAATAAGTCTATTTTGAGAAGTGCTTTTCTCAAAAGTATTTTTGAAAAAAAATATTTTTGGTGAGAAGTAGTTTGTGTTTAGCTAATTAATTAGAAAAATACTTTTGAACAATAATTAGTGTTTGGCCAAGCTTTTGAAAACTGCTTCTAAGTGTATTTGCTTCTTAGAAAAGTAATTTTGGAGAGAAACTATTTTTTTATGCTTCTCCAAAACTGCTTTTGTTTCTCCTCAAAAGCACTTTTTTTCCTTCCAAAAGTTTGGCCAAACACCTCAAATTTTGCCCCAAAAGTACTTTTGACCCCAAAAAAAGCTTGGCCAAACAGGCTATAAGTAAAGTACAAACTTTCTAGTGGAAACTTTTTAATAATCCGTAAACAAAAAAAAGAGGATTAAGAAAAAAAGAGCAAATACACAAGAAGATTAAGGATTCGTTTGATTCGTATACGGCTTATGCTGGGATAAGTTATGTTGAGATTAGTTATCTTGGTATTATTTTTTATCCATTATTTGGTATGTCGTATTAAAAATGATAATTGCATAATTTACAAGAAGAAGGTATAAGTTATCCCCGTACAAATTACTCTACCTCCACAAGATATAAGTTACTCCGATACTAATTTTAATCGCGAAGTAACTTATACCAGTTCTGCTAACCAAATAAAGTATTAAGTTTTGAAATTTTATACCAATACTATATCAAATTATACCTCGTACCAAACGACCCCTAAGGGTTTAAAAAAAAAATATCACAAAAGAAGATGCCTTCCCGATTATTATGATAGAAAACTCCAAAGGAGTACAAAGCACTGAAAAAAGGAAAAGGAGCTAGTAGGAATTGAACTCGTGACCTTACGTATATTTTGAACACTTGATAGGTAAATTACACTTTTGAATTGAACTCGCGACGTTATGTATATTACCTTATGTATATTTTGAACCCTTGACCGCTAAACTATACTTTTGTACTATGTTAAGGTTTCGGGACCTTGCGCCCCCTAAATCCGTGGTTCGAGTGGAGGCCGAATCTTGTGTGCACGGCGGACAAAGACAATAGAGAGTTGCTCAGAGCAGCAAAAACTGGCAAACTGATTAAAGCCAACAATAAGTGTTATGCTCACCGCTCGACTCAGACTCCGGTCTTCCGCCATGGCTGGTGTTGCTTCTTTTATCTCATCTTCATCGGCTTCAACATCATCCGCAGTTTCCAAAAACCTTTCTTTTCCAACCATTTCCAATCGGCAGCTGTTCAAGAGCCGTGTTTATCTTCCCCACCGAATCCCCAATGCTTCAATTCGATGCTTCGCTTCCACTACAGCTTCGTCTAAAATCCGCGTTGAAAATCCTATTGTTGAAATGGACGGTAAATTTACTGCTCTTGACACAGTAAATGCACCGAGTTTAATTATTCATATCAACTCTATTACTACTTTGTTTATTGTTTTATTTTTTTGTAGGCGATGAAATGACGAGGGTTATATGGACAATGATCAAAGACAAGGTATATTTATTGTTAGCTTTTTGAATATATCTTTCAATTTTTTTTTTTTTTGGGCCAATTTTTCTGTCTCTTTCTTATTCTGCTTCTAAGGTTTATCGTATGTATATATATTTTTTCATCCGACGTGTTTACTTTGGTGGCAGCTAATATATCCTTATCTAGAGTTGGATACGAAGTATTACGATTTGGGGATATTGAACCGTGATGCCACTGACGATCAAGTTACTGTTGAAAGTGCCGAGGCTACACTTAAGTGAGTTAAATTAATTGTTGTTCTACCTTCATTTATACCTTCATTCCCTTGTTTTGTATTGAGGAATTAGTTGCTTTAGGGAATCTAATGTTATTGTTTTTTTTCCGTTACAATTGATGACAGCTTATAATTTATAAAACCATCACTGAACTGAAGTAGATTAATGTACTAGTTTGAGAAGTTAGCTACTGTTTTTTTTTTGGGCAAATGCTTCTGTATTTCACACCAAAGATTGTTGTAGGGAAATTGGAGTTAATTTCTCAAGCAGATTCTAGTTCCAAGACAGAATTGGGTTTATAGTCTTTTATTGTGCAGGTATAATGTTNTGTTAGAAAAGCATAGAGGAAGTTTAAAGGAGACGAAATTTCCATTCTGTGAAGTATTTTAATAAAATAATTCATGCTTTATTCCAAGTGTCTCATTTAAGTGGTAGTTATCTAATTTCACATATGGCTCTCTCATATTTTAGGTTAGAGAGTTTGAATTTCTGAGAGTGCATGAAATTATGTGGGAAGGTGGCAAACTGCATTGCAACACTTTCTCATTTACCTACTTTTGATGTTTCAGATGAGACCAGAGTCAAGGAATTTGGGCTGAAGTCTATGTGGAGAAGTCCCAATGGCACAATCAGAAACATTTTAAATGGTTTGCATGCAATTCAATTTGTATTTATTGCAATTTTAAGGCCATGCTATTCTTATGTATGATGTGCATCCATCATAATATGATAGTTTTGGCTCTTAATGGGGTTTTTATTGATGTAGCAGGGAAACTTTCCTCATCTATAGATGACATTATGTTAATCTCATGAAATACCAAAGATGGTAGATACAAGTGGCTATTGATTGAATTAATAAGATACCATATGCTATTATTTTACATGGAGTGAGTGGCATTATATATAATTGACACTGAACGAATCATTGCATGTAAAGGAAATAAGTAACTATAGCAGGCTTTGTACTAGAGTTGTTGGGACATGAGCTCTACAATATTTCGGGCTTGTGCAATGAGTTAAGTGAACAGATTATACCCTGTTTTCTTATATGTTATTTCAGAAATACCTGGTTCCTATTTGAGCTTTCGGCTTGTCAAAAAGAAAAAGTTCAATTAATAGATAATTAAATGGATAGTTAAAGAATGGATGTGATACTTTCTGAATTCATTTCCCATAATTGCTAGAAAGTGATAGATTCTGCCTTCAGGTACTGTTTTCCGGGAGCCTATATTATGCAAGAACGTCCCCAGAATTGTTCCTGGTAACATTTCTTGAACCACTTCTTGGTATAAGTCTAATGTCATCAGTCTCGTCAGTGCTTAACCTGTGAGATCTGCAGGTTGGAAGAAACCCATTTGTATTGGTAGGCATGCTTTTGGTGACCAGTATCGTGCCACAGATGCAATTATTAATGGGCCAGGAAAGCTTAAAATGGTTTTTGGTGAGCTAATTGATTTCTGTCCATTAATTTTATGAGGCAAAACATGCAGATACAAACATATGCATGCTAATAGATATGCTCTATTTTTGTTTTAATTTTTTTTTTCAGAGCCAGAAAATGGGGAAGCCCCTACGGAACTGGATGTTTATGATTTTAAAGGTCCAGGTGTTGCACTTGCCATGTACAATGTTGACCAGGTTTTCTTTTTTCGCTATGCTTTAATAAATGGTTTTGCTGATTCACTTTCATGCCCTTTTCCTCATTCTCTTGTATCCTTATTCTTTTTGCTTCGGTGAAATTTGCTAGTCAATTCGAGCGTTTGCTGAATCATCAATGTCAATGGCGTTTTCGAAGAAATGGCCTCTATACTTGAGTACAAAAAATACAATTTTAAAGAAATACGATGGAAGGTATCCTTCAATTTATGCTTGTCTCGTATTTTCCCTTCAAGTCCTTCCAAAAATTCCCTCTTTTCTAATTTTAACAGGATTGCTACTTGGGATCTCCAAATTTTATTTTTTTAAAGAGTTTAGACAAATTATCAAATGTCAAACATAATTGTGTCAGGTTTAAGGACATTTTTGAAGAGGTATATGAAGAGAAGTGGAAGCAACAGTTTGAGGAACACTCGATATGGTTGGTTCTCTATGAGATTAATAAGGGCTTTTTTGTAGTTTATTTCTGGAATTGTTGCAATACTGGTTGAAAGCTGTCACTGGCATGTAGGTATGAGCATAGATTGATAGACGACATGGTAGCTTATGCATTAAAAAGCGAGGGTGGATATGTTTGGGCATGCAAGAACTATGATGGAGATGTCCAGAGTGATCTGCTCGCTCAAGGTGATTCGCATGACTGTACTTTGTGACTTCGTTCTATTCTTTTGAAATTCATGTCTTAGTTGAAGATTTTAATTTGGTACAGCAACACAGTTGCTACATCAACTATTTCCAGTCTAACTGAGTCTGTTTTTGATTATGTAGGATTTGGTTCTCTGGGCCTCATGACCTCTGTATTGGTCAGTATCTTCCTATCGAGCTTTCATTGTATTGTAGCATGTCACACTCATTGCTCTGCTTTATAACATCAGGTATCTACTTTTGCAGTTATCTTCTGATGGTAAGACATTAGAAGCTGAAGCAGCCCATGGCACAGTAACCAGACATTTTCGGCTGCATCAAAAGGGTCAAGAAACAAGTACAAACAGTGTTGCTTCTATTTTTGCATGGACAAGGGGACTTGGACATAGGTGAGTTCTGTTTCAATTCTCTAAGACTATTACCAAGAGTAGGTGGAATTATGAACTTATTGCCTGCTTGATTTGATCTCATGTTGGCCCTATAATTAGGATGGAAAACAGAAAAAGGGAGGAGTAGCATAATTGTAAAAATGAAATCTATAGAAATTGTGTCACTCTTCTGTCCCATATTGTAGGTCATGTTCACTTCACACATTCAAAGAATATTAAAAGTTTTTCCTGCTTCTTTTTCGTTTTTGCCCTTCTATAGATGAAAGAACTCTCTATAGAGCAAGAACTAAGAAATATTCCAGAGAAGCTAATGTGTTTAAGGGAAGTTGTGAAATGAAAAAGCCTATTTCGTTATGGTTTGGGGCACCCCGAAAAGCTAGATACTGGTTATATTTCTTTTCCATTCTATTTTTCTTTCAGGGAAGTGATCATTATCTGATCTGGAAGAAAAACTAAAGGTGGGTCTTCTATATGGGGAAAAAACATATATAT